CTTACCTGCATCCTCTCAATCGGAGTCTCTATAATCGGTCCGCAAAGTCAGCTTTGCCGGGCCAAGCTGAAACCGCAAAGTAATTGCGGACAACGCTGGCGGCGTTTTAAGGTTGAAGCGCGATATGCGCCATATTGAAATTCCAGATGCAATTTTATTGAACCGCCCGCGGGGCCTAGCGAGAACGTATCGAAATACCAGTGTTCGCGTGTCAACAAAAAGGAAAAAGGAAAAGCTCTCGATGTCGGTACACCGTGGGTCGCTGTTTATTTAGCTACCGGCAAAAGTGAGACGAGCGCGGTGAAACTAATGGAAAAAGCACCGACGATTTTTGCTCGGCGAATCACCGGAAAGTTATCTCGTTCATTGGAAATCCAACGTGAACCTACAAACTCTTACTTTCCGGGACAAACATACGAACGGTTTCTCTCCCTCTCTCCGCTTGAAAACCTGTCTCTGCGAGAAGGCAGCCGGATGTCTTACGGTAAAAGTAATCCGAAAAGAAGGTTCTCCAAGAACTTACTTTTACCCCCGGAACATTCTTTCTTTTTCAAAATATTTGAAGGATAACAGAGAGAGTAATGCGTTCGTGAATTTTTCCAGATCATCGGTTATCTCGCGGATAAGCAAACGAGATACCTCGAGGTGCATTTTTACAATATGTCGAGAGAGGAAATGCGAGATAGCGTAGCTTTGTGTTCTTGCATTTGTTTGTTATACTATCACCATTAAGAGGGAATGGGATTATGGACTTGTAACGTATCAACGGTGGTTGCCTGGTTAAATAATTTACTCCTGTTTTCTCTTCTCAAAGGGAATCTGCGTTGATTCTCACTCTTTGGGTCTCCTTTTAAAGCGTTCAATCCGGTTCTCTCGTACTCTGCACGATAAATCAACTACCGATTAAACAGCTTTGTTTACGATAGCAGTTTGCTGTTCCGCTTTTCATTGATTTTTTCTTCGTTTTTTAACATCTTACTTTTCTAACTTTCAACTCTCTCGTTTGTTCGTTCTGCTATTTCTCAATTTTATGGACTTCTGAATTTATTTACTATCGGATTTTTTAAATCCCAGTAGCCTGATTTTTCAATTCTTCAATTTTTCGATTCTTTGATTTTTCAGTTTCTCAATTTTTCGGTTTTTCGATTTTTCAATTTTTAAGTTTTTCAATTTTTCAGTTCTTCAATGTTTTAGTTCTTAAATTTTTCAGTTCATCTATTTTCCAGTTCTTAAATTTTTTAGTTCTCCAATTTTTCAGTTCTTCAATTTTTCAGTTCTTCAATTCTTCAATTCTTCAATTCTTCAATTCTTCAATTGCTTAATGTTTTAATTTGTAATCTTTCTTTAAAAATAATCTTTTTTTAAAAGTTTTGTAATCTTTCAATGTTACACGATTTCTTTCTCTTTTCTCCATGTAGTCGATTTTAAATAGAAAAACGTTCTTAATTTGCAAGCCAATTTTCCTTCGTTTTGTGTACTCAATGCCGTATAGTAATAAAAAGTACAAATACTTTCGTAATTCATTATATCATACAATTAACATAATAACGTTAATCGTGAAAGCAGTTAATTTGTGTTTACATTCATTAGCAAAAAATTTTCGCTTACAAAAACGATAAAGATTTTGCATCTCCAAGTACGCTCCAGTAAATCTGCAAATATCGTGTATGTTAATTAAATTCAAATGCGTTTTCATTAAAATAAGAAAAACATATCTAAGCGCCGGAACAATTTCAGCAAATGAAAAATTCTGCTTCGCATGTTTACAACGCTCCCTTTTTAAATAAAATCCTTCATTCGCGAAACACCGTGTCGGTTCCCGTGTTCTTTGTACTATTCAGTTTTGCTTTTTTCGTAATTAAAACGAGATCCAAATCGCATTCGCGAACGTCATCGAAAGAACGAGCGCAAAGGATGTTTTCATCCTTAATCACAGATTACGCCATTTTCTCTGTGCTGCTCCTTAAATCCTTCAAAGGACCCGAGTGCTATCGCGAAGCGTGAGACGCAGCGGCAAAACGGATTCAGCTCACCTTACTACGAAATAATTAATCAGAAGACGAATAAATCCGCTAACTTGCTGTTGAGATTGTAAAACGAGGAGGAAGCTCTCGGGGAAAATGGCGGACTCGTTACGGGCTTCAATTATATAAGTAAAAGAGAGAAAACTGACGCCAACCATGGATGGACACCTTTAACAAGAGACACGTCCAATTACAAAATATTATCTGTCCTGACTAATTACGAGTGACTGGCATTCAATAATCTACTTTCACGTTGCCCTGGCGTTGTTATGAAATGTATTAAACACGAGACGCATTAACGCGATTACCTTAATACCCTGTTAATTAACGATCCCTGTTTCCCTCAGGGAGTAGCATGATCTTTCAGGCTGTTTCGAATAAAACTTGGAGAATGGCAATTACAATCGGAGTAACAGTTTTTCCATAATATCTGAAAGTGACCGAGAATTCTTTTAGGTGTTAATACCTTAACGCGTTAATTAACATACAATCATGTAATTTTATACAATTTTATATTATGTTTAAATTGATATTTTCAATTTTGAGATGGTAATTTGATACGTTATATTACTACGGAAAGTGTCATATTGATATGCGCGGAAGTACACGCGTTATATCGCCACAGTATTGACAGCCCTGTTGAACTGTGCGTATGTGATGTTATGCGTTGAATTACATATGCAACGTATCACCACACATTGAATTACTTATGTGTTAAGTTGCAACTCGTTAAATAACCTATACGTTGTATCGCCACGTGGTGCGTCAGCTATGCGTTGATAAATTATCTACGCATTCTATGGCTGCACGAGGGATTATATACGCGTTGAATAGACTTTGCGTTGAATTAAATATACGTTTTACCAATACGCGTTGAATTATCTATGCGATGTATCACTATATGTTGAATTATCTATGCGTTATATAGCCACACGTTGAATTGTCTATATGCTGAACAATCTTTGCGTTCAGTTAACTACGCATTGTACCACCACATGTGGAATTAACTACGCGTTGTATCACCACATGTGGAATTAAATACGCGTTGTATCATCACCAATTGAATTACCTACGCGTTGTATCACCACATGTGGAATTAAATACGAGTTGTATCATCATCGATTGAATTACCTATGTGTTATATCACCACATGTTGAATTATCCATGCGTTATATTGCCAGATGTTGAATTATCTACGCGCTAAATAATCTTTACGTTGAATTAATTATGCATGGTATTACTACGCATTGAATTTTCTAAGCGTTGTATCACCATCGATTGAATTACCTATGCGTTGTATCACCACGTGTTGAATTATCCATGCGTTATATTGCCAGATGTTGAATTATCTACGCGCTGAATAATCTTTGCGTTGAATTAATCACGTATGGTATTACTAAGCGTTGAATTACCTACGCGTTGTATCACCATGTGTTGAATTATCCATGCGTTATATTGCCAGATGTTGAATTATCTACGCGCTGAATAATCTTTGCGTTGAATTAATCACGTACGGTATTACTAAGCGTTGAATTACCTACGCGTTGTATTACCTATGTGTTGTATCACCATGTGTTGAATTATCCATGCGTTATATTGCCACCCATTGAAATAACTGCGCGCTGAATAATCTTTGCGTTGAATTAATTACGCATTGTATCACTAAACGTTGAATTATCTACGTATTGTATTATCTACGCGTTATATTCCCACACATTGCATTATTTACGCGTTATATTGCCACACGTTGCATTATCTACGCGTTATATCGCCACGCATCTTCTCACATTAAACCATTCACGTTATCACCACTTATTAAACTACACGATACGTCCTATATAATCAATTGCAAGAACTTTCCGCACTAATCAATATCGAGGCAATATAACGAGAGGGGTAATATTAATATCAATAATAATACTTCAATCTCCATGCAAACTATAATCTTCATTCGTTTGAAGACTAAATTTTGTGCAGGAAGTAATTATTCTACCGCAGTTAAATAGAAAATGATGGTAGAGGAGAGGTTTGTTTGACGAAGTAGCAAAGATGGGTTGACCTAATAGCAAACAGGAGTGCAGTAGATAGATACTTCGTCTACCATGCAGCCATAAGTTTACTGCAGATAGGAAACAGGATATAGTGGAAAGTTTACATGGCGAAAGTTTTGGGAGTTTAGGTGATTGATATCATATTAGGTGATCAATAACGGCGTTCCAGCGACAGTTGCGTTACGTGTTCCAGAATTCTGAACTGTTTGGTAGACGAATTCGTGCTACGGTTTTCTTCGTTAATTACGTGCGTTGATACATGATACTAAAAAGGGGAAACGATCTTTGAACTTCGTGAAAAATGAACGTTGAAAAACACAACACGAGCTTAAATCCTTTATTTCTTTCATAAATATGCAAATATTGGTTTTTCGTGGCTGCTACATAAAGCAGATATGCAGATGAAATAAATATCTGTCGGATCTGTTAGGTATTAAAAGAGATCGTATACGGAGTAATTTAAATGTTAGTAATACATACATATGCAAACTATTATACAAATTAGTTAAATAAATACATAATAAATACATAAAAACCTGAGGAGAATATTTTGCAGCTTTAATCTCACAGCACCGAAAAGCATTTTCAAATCGTTTAATTTAATCGCTATTTGCTTTAGCGCTAAGTTGCGGAAATCAGAGGTACAAACGGTTAAATTGCAACTCTCGATCCCACAATATCTCGCTTAACAGATTGCCATGCAACGCTTCAAAAAATTACAGAATCCAATTTTTGAGCTACAAGCGAAAATTTCGTTCAAAGTGCTCGTGCCAGTTCGCCGAATCGAATTAAGAAACGTCGCCATTCGACTACAAGTCTTTTGGCAGAGTAAATGCTGATTCGACTGATTTAACTCGCGAAACGTCTGCTGACAAATTGAAAATATAAATATCGTGTTTGCATGAAGCTACGTGTTTGATTTCAGTGTGTCATTTGCTGAAGAGCGGAGTGGCGGCGATTTTTGGGCCTCAAAGCGCGCACACCGCCTCCCATGTGCAGAGCATATGTGACACCATGGAAATTCCACATTTAGAGACACGATGGGACTACAGACTCAGACGACAGAGCTGTCTCGTCAATCTTTATCCTCATCCCACCACACTCTCCAAGGTACGTATAAATTTTCTGAATCGAAAGGTGATTGAGGTTATGTCAAAAATATCTTCGCGTATGTCGAGCTATCTTCTGGAATTCACTTGGATAAATATTTCATTGTTTTCTGTTTTATTCGATAACCATATACGTGATATTGATTGATAACGTTAGTTATCCAAAAGTAATTTAAGCTGAAGCAAATAAGATCACATGGACGGTGGATCAAGTTACTTTGAACATTGATGAAGGCTTTTCTCTTTTAAACTTGATATTGCAGCTTCGTGGCGTATTACGTGTAAGTTTTTGTATCGGCGTGCCGTTAGAAAAATTCAGGGTTTGACCGGATTTTTATATCGTGGATCAGATTATCGCAATTTTAAACCATTCAGTTTATCATTATTTTAAAGAAATCAGTTTAACGTAATTTTTAATTTTAACGTAGTAATCACTCATATTTCTAGATTGCTGTACACATATATAGTTATACTTTAAATTTCAGTTAATAAACTTATTATAAATTCTCTCACTGAAATACTTTCTTGCTCATATTATTATAAAATATTCAAGATCAATATCATAAAAACATGTTACAATATAACATATCGAAACATATTATTATTTATTGTTACATGTTGTAACAACATGTTACAATATATCGAACAGTCTTGTAACAACCTCCACAAAAGTTTGCATGCTTAGACCCTCACATTTTGCAACATACAGAAACTGTTCTGTTAGGAAAATCGTACAAAACGAATAAAAAAAAGAAAACAGTGTAAAAGGCTTTCTCCTTTATCTCAACAGAAAACGTAGTTATATTTTTCTGCAGCCATGCGTTCCAGCGTAAGTCAGAAAACTTATAACAAAAGAAGGGGAAGTTTCCGAATTTCTCTTAATAAACGGAAAGTTTAAGCCGGAAAGTGGTTGAAAGCGATGCCGGTGGCCGCTCGCTTGGCTTAAACGAGACGAAAGTCTCGTCTCGAGTTGTGCGAAATCTTGCAACCCCTTCTCGCCTAATATTTGCCGTTCACGAAATATTCCTGTAGCGACGTGTTTTCCTCCTCGACTTCTGCTCTATTAATATTTGTTAGTCGAGGACGCAACGAAGCGCCGGAAAATCTCTTTACCCTGCCTTCATGAAGTTCACGAGTCTGGAGGCCTCGCTGAATCGTCTCGGAAAGTTGCAACAGTCTGTTAGAGATATTAGGGGAACATCTTCAGCTACGGGAAATATTGAACGACGTTCGAGCTTTACTAGCTACGAGTCTTTTACGCGTATTCCGAGGAAGAGCTCGGTTTATGACACGAACGTGACTTTCCTCCGGGTTTCTTTGTCGCAAAATGTCTGTGGTTACATAAATCAAAAACTCTAAATTGTAATTGCTTTTGGGGCTGATTACTGAAATGTTTGTTTGACCTTTTAACCTTTGTCGTAAGTCACTTCTTACGTGACTACTTTGGCGCTGCGGTCGCACGTCACGTGGGAGGTGACAGTGATGGAACCTGTCGAAGTTCTAATTTTCTAGGCGCAAGGAAACCATTAACAACAGACAGTGAGGATATATTATACGAAAAACTACGTATTTTACAATTTGATGCTAAAGGAGAACATAATGATTTTTTAGCATGTATATTGAATTTAATTTTAAGGATCTAAAAACTTTCGGTAACTGTTATACTGTGATTGAGACAAAAGTCACTATCAGAATTCTTGTGAAATCCGTAACAAATTTGTGCAATTGTTTTCTCTATTATTGTAAGGTTACGCATTGTTCCTACATTTGCTAACTGTATTATTGGATGCGAGCAAGCAAACGAAAGATAAACGGATTTATCGTGATAGTTGAAGTACGCTGTTTGAAAGCACACGAATACGATAGGTGCAACGTTCCTTTGTTTTTGACTGCGCGTTTTTTCCCACCGAACGGAAGCAAGAAATGCTTCCGGCCGTTGAAATAAATCTCTCGGCGAAACACGGATCGCCAACAGGACAAACTGGACACTGACACCGGTGGACAGCGTAACCGAAACGGGATGTTTTAAATTTGAAACTCGAGTGAAAACAACATTGGCCGAACCTAGTGGGAATAATATCGGTAGCTTGGTGTGTTAACTGTTCGGTAGCCTTCTGGTACAATAACGGTGAAAATTAATTGACTCTTTTCGATAAAACAGTGCACCTAACAAAAAATGTTCATTCCCGTTTACAATGTTTGTCGAACAGTATATTTATTTCAATAAAACGTTGTGCAGAATCGATCACTTTTATATTAAAATAAATGTTTGTTAATATAAATGTTTGCTCTTTAATTGAATGGGAGATTGTTTTGGAAAATTGTTGATTTTAATTAATTGGACACGCAATCGAGGAAAATATGTCGTGTGGGATGTTAAAGAGGGAAATGGGAACATTATTTGTGTTAAATAGGTGACTGGTCAGTATTGACGTGATTGGTCAGTATCATTCATGTACGTAGATCAGTAAATTTTAATAAAATAAAAAGTTTTAATAAAACACATTTACAGAAAAGTAAATCATGTATGAATAAAAGGTCTACAATAACTGCAGAACTCTTTCCGAGCGCCATTTCAGTTCTTGCACCACCATTTTGTTTCAAATTCAAAGTTAATGAAATTTCATTTTACACGTGTATTTTATTTAACAGCTGTTGATTTTAAATAAATGAAATGTAATTACATAAAAGAATTATGTAAAGCTTTTTGTAACTTTATAAAAATTATTTCTGAGGAGGTTAAGTTAGAGGTTAGAAGAGTTCATCTACATAGGTCTAGATAGTTTCATAAAAATGTCAATTTTAAAGTTCAACGTTATGTTTTTCAATGTAATATTTTATGATTTAGCTATGATGTATAAAACCCAATTGAGCGAAGTAAATTGTTAATCGTAAAATATAATGAAAAGAAGTCACCAGAGAGTGTTCTGTCGAATAAGTTTCCTAAAGATTTCACGAGCCGACTGATAAATTTTCTCGCCAACGACGCGTACCGAATACAAAAGAAAGACGAGAAGGGATAAGAGACACTCTGCCCTCCGTTAAATATTATTCCGCTCGATTGCGGCGGACGATCTCGCGCGTCTTTGTGCTGACTTGATTAAAAGTTCAAAAGCCAAAAGCTTTTCTCGCGCAAACAGGCGGACTCGATCGCGCGATAAAAAGTTTGACGAACGAGCAACGCGGCTCGCAGTCATAGATGGCGAAATTATCGAAAGCGCGGGGACAAAGGATACGAAATCACGTCGTTAATCGGTCGTTGTGCCTTTATCCCCTATCTTCGAAATGTACTCGTTTCGATCGAACTCCACGATCGACCCTTCTCGAAACAGGACTCTTTTCACAAAAGAGCAAAGGACGGAAGCTCCGATCGGTGCCATTGTTCCACGGTTAACCGGACCCTGTCACAAAGCGTTCGTCGATTCGAGTCAGACAGGAGGAAAAAATTTCTAATCTCTTCTCGATGGACCGTCGCGAAGCAATAAATGATGATTTCCGGTCGCGTTGTTCGACTTTGAGGGACACCGATGAAAGAGCGATGGCACAAAGAGAGCTCACGAATTACTGTGTCACAGTAAGAATTTCAATTATAACCTATATACGCACACGCGCGACGAAATTGAACTTCATCCATGCGTTAGACGTCACAAGCTCCCATTTCTCGGCAACGACACTGCGAATTCCTAGAATGCCACATATTGAAATGCTTTCGCCTGCAGCCGATAGAGAGAGCAATCCTGTTTGCCGAAACAGAACTTTAATAACTGTTTAACGAACATTCTACAATATTCTGGTCCTTCTTAGATGACACAGGAAATGGAGGTGCTATCGCTCCATATTCGAGCGTTATTATTATTTCAAAGCATGTACGAGTTCATTTATACTGTTTTAGACTACAAGGTGTACGGTGTTAGGAATATTACGAATGTAGGGATGAATAGAGGTGAGAGTATAAGTACTTCAAGATTTACAGATATAGTAGGTTTCTATAGACATACGTAGGTTTCTATGCACATCACATCTAGGGATGTGAGTACCTGAAAATGTGCAGATATAGGAATATGAAATAGCAAGTGCCCAGAAGTTTTAAGATGTACCAATCTAGGGGTATACAATATGGATGTTCATAAATTTTGAGATCTAGATATCCTCTAATGTATACCTCATATTTCTAAGTGTATATGTATACAACATGGAGATCGTGTTTTATGAAAATCTAGTAATATGAGGATCCACATACACGAGCATGTATAATATAAAAATTGATCAACACCTCTTTGATACCACATATTTTCTGAACTTCTATTATTATAAAAAGCTGAATTTTTAAAGTATAACTAAAGTATATAATAATCTCGTATATGGAAATTTAAGTGTTCTTTTTAATCAATGCACCGTTTACGTATACGGTATATTTAATAGGTGTGGGTCACGATTGACCGGTCATTACTCCTTTTCCAGTTTACTGAACTCGGGTCATATTCGCTATATCCACTACACCGTAACGAGTTCCTTTGTGAACGTATTTGTTTCCGTACGAATACACATAGGTACTTGTATTTGGTATTGTCAGTTAGCCATCACGAAACATGAACATTCCTGAAATTCCTGCTTTTGTGCGTTACGGTAACATACAGCGTGTGGGGAATTTTCTCTACGGGCATAAAAGAATCTCTGTAATTAGAAGTATATGTACAGTAGCCAGCGACTGAATTTCATTTTAATTAAATACTGAAAATTCGTGCATTTTCCGGTTATTGATCTTTTACGGAAAATTGAAGCGGAAAAGAGGAACTTAGAGAATGCAGGAACTGTACTCAAGATAGGAGAGCAGGTTCGCTAACCGGAAGCGTAATAATTGATCAGATCCATGCGAGCTTGTGAAAAGTTTATTGCGAACAGATTGAACTACTGACGAATTTATACCCTAGACTTGCTTCATTTTTAGCCTTTTCAATTTTTAATCTGTTGTGACGTTTTGGAAAACTTTGTTAAAGTTAC